ATTATTATGGGGCTACTGGGGAACCTGAACCCTTAACCCCAAAGCCTACACCGTTAACCCTAAACCCTAAGCCCTGAACCCTGAACCCTAAACCCAAAACCCTAAACCATAAAGGGAGCCTAGGCAAAAAGCGCCAGCTGAGCCGCGCAGATGCTCGATGCACTGTTTGGCGCAGACTGGCCGTGCGGCTGCGCACCCTGCTGCTAGGTTGAGATGATAGTCTAGGGCTTAGGGTTTAGAGTTTAGGATCGGGGGTTTAGGACTCAGGGTTTAGGATTCAGGGTTTAGGATTTAGGTTTCAGGATTTAGGGTTAGGGTTTATAGTCCCCCTTAAGTAGATAGAATATGGCTTTGAGTATATGATAATACTAAGATCCGCACATACCCCATGTTTTATCTACTTAAGGGGGACGATAGGGTTTGGGGTTTAGGGCTTTCTTTCCCGTCCCCTAACACCCCTATATAGCCCCAACCTTCCTTTTTTGGGACCCCTGTCTAGCCCCTGTATCCCCTTTAAAGTGACCGCTATCCCTAAGGGTCCAGGGACCCAAACAATAGGGTTTCAAGGGCCCAAATAGTATAATATTAATGGTATCTGACCCCTAACCCTCTTTTTTTTGGGGGGGCCTTGGACCCTTAGGGTATATAACCCCCACAAATTCTAATATCCAGCAGTTACAGTTTGGGAGGGTCGAAGCCTTGGAGGCTTGGAAATCGAGCTGACGGGAAGATTTCATTCCTACGCTCAACTCAACCTCACCCCGAAAGCAGTACAGGTAGGAATAGTACGTAATTTTAGAAACAAGAACCACATCAATACTATTCCCGCTGCTGATGATGATTTTCAAAAAGTGGAGCGGCAACAGTCATGGTCAGAAAAACTCGTAGAAGGAAATCTCGAGAACCTTAGGCGTAGTATCTCTTAGCCCGACCCTAAACCTTAACCCGAAATCCGAAATCATAAACCCCAAGTCCTAAACCATAAATCCAAAGTCTTCAGGCTAAGAGAGGGCATGACAGCACGAGCTGTGGCGAATGTTTTCTGGGCCAGCAGCGAGCTGTATGCGAAGGTGAAAGGATGTGACGCAAAGCTCCTCAATGAGCTGGTGAAGTACATACGGCATAAGGCCCAAGAAATGAATCTTACTCAGCCAATAGAAGAACTTTAACAACCTTCTTCCTTTTTGGGTCTCTATAAAAAAGTTTAAACATTTGTAGCCCTGGCTATTGGGAAAGAGAGGAATGCGCAAGATTTGTCGAACAATCTGTGGGCATCCGCGACTTTGCAAGATCTTGCGCCAGAGGTGCTGACAACTGTGCCTGCCCTTTCAAGGTACATACCTGGCAATGTAGGGGAGATGAAGGCCCAGGAGGTCTCCAACAGCCTCTGGGCAGCCGCGAAACTGAAGGATGCTGTACCGGAAGTGCTGGCAGCGGTGCCTGCCCTTGCGGAGCGCATACCTTCCTTGGCCAAATACATGATTCCTCAAGCGCTTTCGAATAGCTTGTGGGCCGTGGCGAAGTTGCAAGATGATGTGCCAGACGTGCTGATGGCTGTGTCTGCCCTTGCAGAACATATCCCTCGCAAAGTACAGGACATTTGTCCCCAAGATTTGTCCAACAATCTCTGGGCAGCTGCGAAATTACAAGATGCCGCTCCTGAGGTGTTGAAGGCCGTGCCTTCTATAGCAGCGAATATACCAGGCAATGTTGAGGGCATGGAATTTCAAGAGGTGTCCAACAGCATGTGGGCAGCCACGAAACTACAGTATGCTGTGCCCGAGACGCTGAAGGCTGTGCCTGCGTTGGCAGAGCGCTTGAAGCGCTGTCACGCTAGTGCCTACCTTGCATGGTAGTCATCAAAACTCCTCAGCTTGCACACGGTGAGAGGCTCAATGCAAAGGGATAGCAGCCTCCAGAGCCCTGATGCAGCCTGTGGGCGGCTGCAACGATGCAAGATGCCGGCCTCAGCAAGTTGCAAGGGCTATCCCTGCAGGGCGCTGAGAACGTGCTTGTTCAACACAGCACAGACACAACACCTACATCACAGCACCTACACCGCACCACGACCGCAGAACCTAGAACACGGCCAGATACGCGTCCCGTGCTAACGTCGAACTGATTGCTTTCGGGATGATCGGGGTCTAGTTTTTCAGTACAGCGCGTGTATTACAAGCACCTGGGCCTTTGTTAGGAACATGTCTGCTTTTCAACTCTATACCATTTTCGAACCCTTTAGCAAAATGGTCGTCCCTCACGCAACCCAACAAGGATACAGAAACAGTACATGCTTCTCCGTCCTTGGTGAAGGTCCTTGGCGGTTGAAGCGAGTCTGTACCCAGAAGCCATGCGATGGGGATATGTTCTGCAGTACGAGGCCTTGGTTAGGGCCAGGGTTTGGTGGTGCAGCATTACCTGAACCCTAAACCCTAAACCGCAACCGAGCTTCCAAGGAAGTCCTGCAGCTGAGAGCTTGAAAACAGACACAAAAAGAGTCATAAACAAAGAAGGCAAAGGCTCCACGTAAGCTGTTCTTAGGATTTTCCCTAAATACGCGGACCCCAATGTAGACCCGAAAATGCCACATTGTTTACGAACAAGCGGGACCCCTAGAAATGCACCCTTAATGTGGGGAAGATCCCTTATTGCTGTCTTGTGTGCCTGGGAGCCTTCCATGCCCTCTGCCAAGCTTTGGTGAAGCGCAAAAAGCTGGAGTGATAAGGTCTGTTTGGCGGGCGAGCTTGCATGTCTGTCAGTAGGCGTGGTAGGCAGGCATGGGTCAACTTTGACACAAAAGGGCCACTGCTAAACATGAAGTAGTTGTTTATTAAAATGAGGTGTGTAGCATTCAACGCCAAGGCAATGATACATAGGCCGCAGAAGAACCCGCACCTTCGATCGCCTTAGCATAAATCAGAATGACCAGGGGAAGGGGGTGCTATCTGCGATGCAATGCTTTAAGGTTTTCGGGTTTAGGGATACCCCAGAACAAGTTTCGTAAGGATTTAACACGGTAGTCACGTCACTGTGAGGGCAGGGGTGACTTCTAAGAGCTTCTTTTTTGGCCATGGCAGCTGATAAAACAAACTCAAAGCCCTTTCACCGGGACCCCTCCTTCCTACCGTCTACAAATCCCGAAGTCAATGAGGGAAGTCAAGGAGGGTTTAGAGCAACCCTAAACCCGCGGTTTAGGGTTAGGGTTTAGGGTTTAGGGTGGGCAGGGTTCACTCCAAGTTCACTGACCCGACTCCCCCATAAGCACCTCTTCAGGAGGCCTTACATACCCAGACCGCTGGGAGGATCTAGAAAGTAGAACCCCCCAATATGGTACGTACACTATACTACTATTGGGTAATTCCTAGGAACCCTCAAGGGGGATCTTCTTTCTAGATCCTCCCAGGGGTCAGGGCAACGATCCCTTTACAGATTCCTATTATAGTAGTTTCCATTTTCTTTTCCATTATCCCAGTATATCCCCAATATATTATAGTAGTTTCCATTTTCTTCTCCATTACCCCAATGAAACACCTGGAGTTTTGTTGGCAAAAGTCCTTTCCGCGTTTGGAGGCTTGGAGTTCGGGGTGCACTCAAGGTATGGGAGTTTCTCAAGAACTGACTGCTCACAACCGTAGGGGCACAATAAATGGGGTTCAGACGGAGTTATACGGATGGTTGTCAAATTTAGGGTACCCAAAAAGCGGCCATAATATTGACAACCACCCATAACTGTCTGTGTTAAGGGTTCTCGAAGGAGCACTTTGAGAAACATCCATATGCTTGTAACGTCAGTTGGCGTACTCTTCTGAAACAGGATCCCAAAGGTATAGCAACCGCTAATCCTCTGTCACGAGGTCTTTTGTGCCGGTGGCGTCTTGATTGCGCCTATTGAGTGAGCCACTCATGCTGGGGGGAGCTTCTTCCATCCAAACATTTTGCGATGATTATCTGTACGTTCCGTCAGGACTGGTGGTGTGTTCCGAGAGTTGTAATTCCGGCGCGGTCCCGCTAGCGCCCGGAGGAGGTGGCCACGTACCAGGTGTCACGATATGGCTTATCTACCCATTCTATATCGATATAATAAGGGGAGCTAAAGAGCCCAGGAATCTCCAAAAACATAGAGGAGGTATTTTTGAATCCTCCAGAATGCTAGTCTTCATACCGCAGCTTGCCCCAACGACCAGTTTCTTTGAGAGCATCACCTGTGATTGTCAAGCTGCAACTGCTGCGTACCCTGAATCCTATACCCTAAAACCTACCTAGACCCCCCCAAGTACCCTCTATAGACCGTAAGTATCCCTAAGTAGAAGCTACGTAGACCCTATTTTAGGGTACTTGGGGGGTCTAGGTAAACCCTAGACCTTCCTTGAAAGCTCATAAGTCTTCGTATCTCCCGCTACTACGCTGGTTCGGGTCATAAACTTGCCGGTCGTTGTCCTACTTGTGACACTTTAAGGTTTAGGGTCTACCAAAGGTATGTAAAATAAGAGCCGTAAACCTATAATAACAGCCATAATTGCCATTATGTTACATACCTTTGGGGTCCAGGTAAGGTTTAGGGTAACTACGACAGTCATAGGAATGATTTGCTTCCCAATTTGGCTGCCAAGCCCCACCAGCCTCGCGAGTGGCCTGGAAGGTAGTTTCCCAAACAAGGGGTGTGAAGAAGGCAACCCTTGAGATGGGGAATCCACTTATAGTCTCACCCTTAAGTAAATAGAATATGGGCCTTGTGTCGGGATAATGGAAAAGAAAATGCAAACTACTTTTTAGGGTTTAGGGTTATAGTCCCCCTCAAGTAGATACAATAGGGTTAAGGGTTTAGGGGCTATATAGGGATAATGGAAAAGAAAATGGAAACTACTATAGTATATTGGGAATATAGTCCCTCTTAAGTAGATAGACTATGGCTTTGGGTATATTATAATAAGGTTCCCATATACCCCATATTCTATCTACTTAAGGGGGACTATACACCACATGCTAGGAAGACACCCCTACTTTGGGCAACTACTTACTAGTATCATACGGCAGCTCCGCCAAGCGGTGGATCATTTGCACGGGTTGGACAACATGTACCGGAAGAATTAGATGAATTCGTCGTCGACTCATTGTTGCTTCCACGCCTTAAGACTCTGTCACCACCCCTTCTACCCTTAAAAAGGGCTATCTGGTCCCTAATAGTGGGTGTTTAAGGTATATGCCCTAAACCCTAAACCCTAAACTCAATGGAGGGTTTAGGAATACGCATCCTGGACTTCTGAGAGTGCATGGGACAGGCCTCGGGTAGCAGAAGATCTGGGAAGGCACGTTAAGGGGTTGTTTAGGGTTTAGGGTTAGGGTTACGGGTCTGAATATTAGGATCCCTATTAAAAATCTCTCTCAAGGGGAGGGGCTTTATTAATCACTGGTCTACATGCAAAGTACAGTCCTACCTAAACTGAACAGCATACGAACTGGCAATTCTAGGAGATCGCAAGAGAGGTTACTTGGAGGGTCAGGGGAATAATGGGGATAACTAGAGTTGATATGTGAGTTATAGTCTAGACTCCTAAAGTGGGTTATATGGGCGGTTATATAGGGGATTTCTTAGGCGATATTACGGGGGATACTAAGACCTACTTTCTGAGTCCCCGTGACTCTCCAAGTAGGTGTATGCACAGCCCCTAGGGGATGCAAAGGACCACCTTTAATTTAAGTCTACCTAGCCTCTCCCTGCTCTCCATGTACGCTCCGCCACTGAAATTCCTTATAGGAAAATGTGTGCTTTCGTTTAAGGTTGAGGGTTTAGTGGGTCTGGGGGTATGATGGTGGCTGCTTGCAGAGTCTGTACCTTGAGCAAAGACTACATGAGCAGTAAATGAGCAGGGGGATACAACAGTCCCCAGTAGAGCGTAAGACTAGATTATTCCTTTGGCTATGTTATTTCAGGAAGGAACAGAGTCTTACAGTACTTGGTTCGAAATGTATTGGTTGCTCCTGGGTTCCGCACCCTCATCGACTTTGTATTCGTGATTACATAGCTTTGCTTTACAAAGCCCTATAGTGACCTCATGTACGTGAACATTTGGAGTTATGATGCTGTAGAATGCCTAAGGTCCTTTCGAATTTCATCGTTCAACGGCATGAGAAACGGCGAACCATCCGTTAGCTAGTGACTGCAAGAACAACCCACCGCTTGCCAATTCTGTCGTTAATTACTTCTGCCCGCACAAGCGCATGTGCATCTGGCAGAGCTCAAACATCTGGAGTGATAAACGGGCCGCGTGTGCGCAGGATTCCTGTGTAGTTTCTTCCAGGATTTGTTACGGTTTCGCGATGAAGGGCTATTATATACTACCCAGAAAAGGAATTATCGGAGCCCTTGAGTGGGGTGCAGGGATTAGTGCTTTCAGTTGACGTTCTCCATGCTGTTTGCCTTCTGAAGCGTCTGTCCGACGTTACAAACGGTTCCCTGAGTATATGGGGTTTCGCACAGAAATTAGGGGCCCCTGTGCAGAGTTTCTACGGGGTTATATGGGGCATCCAGGGATTCATAGGGTTTGGGGGTTTCCCACAACATACCAGAAATGCGAACATTTAAGGTACTTAGGGTCACCAAACCCTAAACCCAGATGGTATTGTCGTTCCGTCTTATTCTCCATTACCTTTGCACTCCCTAGACCCCATATTTTGAAATATGCCTCCGACCTCCGTACAAAACATGTACCGTACACAATATCTCAGTGCAATTCCAAAACAGCATGTAGGCATCCGAATGAGGAACAGCATCTATTGGGGTCTACGGCAGGGCCACCCACTTACGGATGTTACTTCATGGTTCACCCTAAACCCTAAACCCTAAACCCTAAACCCTAAT